TTCCCCGAGCCTGGTCCCCGGCGCTGTGTCCTCCCGAGCTCGCCGGGCGACTGCGCTCTCCTCCCGGCGACTGCTTGCGGGTCCCGCTGCTCTTAAAGGGCCCGCACCGCCCGGCAGCCCGCGGGAGGCGAGGATGGCGAGGGCGACAGCCGCACCGGTGGGGCAGAGCGACACCCAGGACCGGGGCTGGCGGCGAAGGGCTGACTTGTGGGCAGTGAGGAAAAGAGAGCTGAAGTCCCTCAGGGGGACAGGTCCCTGGAAGACAGGCCAGACAACAGGGGAGGGGAGCGCAGATTCCATCACTTAAGGGATCTTGAAGCTGTCAGTCTGCGCGCGCGCACACACACACAAACACACATCCCATCGATCCCCCCAGTGCTAGCCCTTGAGCTCAGGCCTCCTCCCACAACCCCCAAAGTAGGTGCAAGGGCATTTGGAAAAGCAGGAGTCGGGACATTGAGAAATCCTTCCCCGACCTGCCATTCACACTCTGGTTACGAAGGGACAGAGGATACGCATTAAGGAGGACAGAGGGTAGCCGCTTCGCGAGAGCCTGCAGGCAGCTCCAAGGTTACACGGTAGCCAGATCTCAGCCTGCTCGGTGGAGAAATCCTCATTCACCCAGCCAGATCCGGGCCTGAAAGTCGGGCCCTTGCACACGTCCAGGGCTCACAGACGGCCTCCAGCATCTTCTCACACACGTGTGCACTCTGCTCACCCCACAAGCCTTCAGACAGGTCCCCAGAGTGCACGTGGGGCTTTCCCCTGCTCTGCCCCTTTCTCGGCAATTCTTGGCTGGTGCCGGCCCCAGCCGCTGTGTCTTCAAGGGGTAAGTAGGTTAGTCAGCCAAGACACGTGATCTGAGCTTTTAAGTTCCCACCTGTCACACAGCGGAGCGATGGGAGGGGAGGCGGCTGGCGCTCGTCCTGCCCCACTGCTGAGGCTTCTCCCTACTGCAGCAGAGAGGTTACTAGCAGTCAAACCTCTCCCCCGCTGCCCCCCTTCCCAGCCTCTCCTCAGCCCTGGAGGCTGGCGGCCCCTACAGGACATCTCCAGGCCCTGTCTTCACCACCAGGCTTATGTGACTTTTGGATCCAGACTTCTCTCTTCCACAGAACCACCATTCCTCAGGTTAACCTCCAATGCTCTTCTGCAAACTCTCCCGCCCCCAATAGTTGCATTTACTGAACAGCTACTATGTCCCAGGCATTATCTAATTTAATCTTCACAATATTGAGGTAGCTTTACAACCCTTTAGAGAGAAAGAAACTGAGGCATTGGGAGGTTAAGCAATACTCCCAAGGGGACACATCTGGCAGGTCAGAGAGCAGAGTTTGAATCCCAGCATCCCTGCTTGTACCCACTCTGTTAATTGGGTCTCTCAGAACCGTATTCCCAAATGGACTGTTGAAGCAGAAGCACCTCCATCTTTGAACGTCACAATATTCTTGCTTCCTCTTTTTGCCCAGAATCACTTTGCCGGGACCAACTCGGCATGAACACGTTTCTCTGAGTGGGGAAGGCTGTGGATTAGAAATCAATGCAATAACAAAACACGCAAAGACATACAAGTATAGAAAAGCGAGGATCGGGTGGGCACAGCTTTTTTGATGGAGACGTTGCGACTAGCCTCAGGTTTATTCTTTTAAAGGGCAAAAAACAGGGGCAGGGGGAAAATCAGATGCAAAAGAAATGAGGAAGAAAGAAGTGGAATGCAAAGAGAATAAGAGAGGAGAAATCAGAATGCAAAGCCAGTTGTTTGGGGATGTAAATCGTCTAAAGATGTAAAAATGACTGGCACCATATAATTTCTCTAATCTTTTTGGGGAGATTAGCTAGTAAACGCACGTGACTTCCTTTAGCCAGATATCGGGGTACTGGGTATCAACAACAAGAAGACAACCATTGACTACAGGCAAATCCTGCTTTTGTATGTCAATGCTTCTCAACAGCCCTGCTAGAGTAGCTTACAGAAGCACCTATCTGCATGTGTCTACAGCCACATGTTGTCATCACGTGTTTAGACTGGCTGTCCTCCACAGTGGTTAACAGCCTTACTGTCTTTGCTAACCAGCCTGAAATCCTTTGGTTTGGATGTTCCTCGGCAATGGAACCACCAATCACCAGACCCCGGCCCAGAGCCCTGGGGACTGTTGAAGATCTAGAGTGCACTTAAACATTATTAACCTGTCTTCCTTTCTCCGCCATCGTGGTGTGAGCAGCTCTTCACCATGTCTTCTCACAAGACTTTCAGAATCAAGCAGTTTCTGGCCAAAAACCAGAAGCAAAATCGTCCTATGCCTCAGTGGATTAGAATGAAAACTGGTAATAAAATCAGATACAACTCCAAGAGGAGACACTGGAGAAGAAGCAAGCTGGGTCTAGGAGGAACTGGACAGGATGTGGCCCACATATTTATGCTGTACCAAGGTCACTATGGTCTTGCCACATCAAGCTGAAAATGGTCAACACTGGCTGGACACTTGTGTTTATTGGGAAAAAAATGATGCTTCACCTTGTCTCGAAGTTCTGCATTGGTAGGTTGGTTCAGTAATAAATATGTGAGACCTTTAAAAAAAATATATTAACCTGCTTGGGACCAGCAGGTACTGTGGTGGTTAAGGGTGCTGGACTCCCACTTGGCCAACTGCAATTCACGTTCCAGACCTGGCAGCTTGCTTTCTCTCTCTCTCTCACTCTATCCCTCTCTGGTTAAATTGAAATAAATGAATGAATAAATAAATAAATAAAGTTAAGTAAGATAATTAAAAAAAAAAAAAACTGGGGGGTGATTTCTCGCTTTCTGTCTCTCTGTCTCTCTCTATCTTTCTGGCGAGTGCACATGCCCTATAGCAAACACCTCTCCAAAAAAAAATTTAAAAACACTGTAACTTCTATCTAGACCTGTAATGCTTATTCATTTAAAAAAAAATTATTAACCTGCTCTATTCAGCTTTTGTAACTGCTGTTGCATAGGAACCCCACTCCCTTCCCTCTCCACCCCCTCCTCATTTTCCATTGTAATCACTGTGAGAACTCAGAAATGATGGTGGTTTTGCCTTTTTTTTTTTTTTTTTTTTTTGGGAGGTTTTTTTTTTAGGGCCGG